CTCCTCTGCAGATTTCGGATTCGGAGCATCACCAGCTTCGCTCTGCAATTGGTGACGCGCGACACTAATGGTGGTGTCGCTCGTCACCGGCTCTGCAATCTCAGGAACTTCTTCAGGGTTTTCCAAATCCACGACTTCAGGTGCAGGAGTCTTTTTGGGCTCTGAACTCAGATTTTTACCACTCTTCAACGTGATAGCACTGCAGTGATGCCTTGGATTGGTGTCAGTCTTCCCAGGAAGAAAACCTTCTTGCCTTTTAACAGAACCTGCAGTTTGAGCAACCTGGGTATCGAGCTGCTTGACATGGGTGTTCAGAGCTTCGATTTTTCCATTCAGATCAAGATAGAGAGCATCCATCTTCCCATTAATGTCCACGGTGAGCTTCTGCTGTCCTTCCAGAATTTGTTCCAGCATAGACTTCATCTCATTGTCAGGATTTTGAGGTTGAGATGAAGGAGTGCTGTAATTTCTGGAGAAATTGTTGTTGGAAAAGGGCTTCTGGTTTTGAGGCTTAGGCGTATAACCAGAGAAGTTCTGATTACTGTTGAAAGTACTCCGCTGATTGTTTCCACTGTAATTTCCACTGTAGCTTCTGTTACCTTGCTGATTACCAAACCTCTGACCCTGAAATCCTGATCCACTGACAAAGTTGACATCCTCTTCCTCAGCTTCATCCTCAGGTTCGAAACTCTCCACCTCCTGTGCGAATCTGACAGACTTCTTACCCACTAAAAGGCTGTGCACAGAGTCAAGTTTAGCTTTCACCTCAGCGATCTGCAATCTATCCATGTTCCCAGCTTGCTTCTTTCGCATCAAGATCTGCATTCTTGGTGCAATTGCTGGATGCCAAATCTTCGATGAGCTCAACAGCTTCTTTTGGGTATCTGGTGTTGAAGTTACCATTGCTTGCTGCATCAAGTGCCATCTGATATCTCCAGTCGATACCTCTGAAGAAGATACCCAGCAACTGCACATCGCTGAAGCCATGATAGGGGCAGTCTCGCTGGTACGATTTGAATCGCACCCAAGAAGCTTTGAATGCTTCAGTTGGTTCCTGAGAGAAAGTCGAAATTTTCGTCCTCTAGCATCATCGAAAAAGTTGTGCAGGAAAGCATTCCTGGTCTCTTCCCAAGTGGTGAGTGATCCTGGCTCCAACTGCTTCAACCAGTTAGCTGCTTCTCCAGCAAGAGAGTAAGGAAACAGCTTGCAGAGGAGGAAATCATTGGACACTCCATTGTATTTGATGCTGGTGACCAAGTCCTCAAACCTCTCGATGTGATCCATAGGGTGCTCATGAGAGTGGCCATGAAAGGGGTGCTGACCAACAAGAGTGTAGTACACAGGCTTCAGCTCAAAATCGTTTCTTTGAAACGCAGGGGCGCGAATCGCAGAACGATTTGCATAGAACTGCTCAGGCTTGTTGTAATCTCCAAGTGTTCGTCCACGACCAGCTGCAGGTGCAGGTTCTCTCACATTCCGATCTTCTGGAACGTTCCTCTGATGTGGAACGATCACAGCATTCCCACGCGGTGCAGGTGATGGATTCTGGTCAACAACATCCACTGGTAAAGGCGCTGGTGGAATGATGTTACCATCTCCATCAAGCCTTTGGCCTCTCGCATTGCACACATGACCTTCTTGGTCTCTCCAGATTCCATCATCATCACGAACAAGTCCATTGGCGTTTTCCATCATTGCCGGATCTCTTGCTTTCCTGTTCGTTCGCTCTAACTCAGCTAGCTCTTCATTGCTCAAATTCACTAGCGGGATGTCCTTGTTGCTTCTGGTTCCACGAGTATGCATAAACCTGAAACACCAAAAACAAAGAGAGAAAACGAATAAGTAAATTAGGTTATAAAAAGAAAGGTGTCGCGCGACACCACTGTGGTGTCGCTCGACACTAAGTCAAAAAACTTAGTCGAAAACTCAAAAACTAGGTTTAATGGCGAAATCTGGTCCCCGGCAACGGCACCAAAACTTGATCTGCTCAAAGCTTAATCCCTAAGCTACTCTGCAAGAGCACAGATGTGCAGTTGTAGTATCTAGGGGTCGAACCACAGAGACAAGAGATCACTCAATAAACCTTGTAGAGATAGAGTTACGCTAAGCAGAAATATAGGAAGTAAATAGCAATGCGACAGAAACAAATTAAGCAACAGTGAAACGGTTTGTAAATTCGATTGGATAAGGATTAGGTCTAGGGCGTTTTCAGGAGATCAATGAATGCAGATCAACTTAACTAATCAGGGTTCAGTTATTAAGCTCGGTTCTTGAACTCGAAACACAGAATTATAATTAACCAACTTCCGTTGTGAGAATTATCTAAGTTAAAATCCTAGAATCCCAAATTCCTTTGCAAATCCTACAGATTTAAACCAGCCTTAATGCACAAGTTCGATATGTTCACAAAGTATCTAAACCAAATTCCTTTGCGAATAGTTACTTTGCTCAACCTAGGTTCTTTCCAGTCATTCATTACACTTCCGGGTCAATTAAGCAACCTAAGATCTAAGTTCTAGGTGATCAATCCAGAATTAGCATTAAGAACAACCTAAGATGAAGAACTAACAGATATGAACCCTAACTAGCAAGTTAATCAAACATTCAAAGAAAACCCTAATTAAACCCTAAACCTAACAGGTGATCTACTCAGACATGGTTATTGAAACAACAAACATGATGAATAGAAAGCAATAGATTAAATCGAAATAGATAAAGGGGTTCGAAATCTTCTCTCTAAACGAACAGAGTTCAGACTTGTCTCCCCAAGCTCAGAAATCGCAAAAGCCGAAAACTCAGAGTATCTCTCTCTCAAAAATCTAAGGTAATCGTAAAAAGGGAATAAAAATCCTATATATATCTCTAAGACACGTTTTGGGCTTCCTTGGAAACGTTTAGGCCCAACTCCTTCTTCAAATAGGAAACAAAATCACCTTTTCCTTATTTCTCTGACAAGTGTCGAGCGTCACTCTCCATGGTGTCGAGCGTCACTAAAGCACAAAATCCATACTTGACGAATTTGATCTTGATTAAGCTCCAAAGTGCTCCAAAGTCTCCAGTTAAGCTCCAAACGTACCTATGACCTGAAAAGACTCCAAAAGACTCGAAAGACACTAAAAAAACTATAAATAAGACCTATACCATGGTTAAAAACCATAAAAACCATGATATATCAATTAAGCAATAGTCACAGTCACAGACGTCAAAGAATGTGTGACCTGTTTCGTCTGAGAATGCATAGATAGGGTCTCCGGCTGCATTAAATTTGTTTATTGGAACACCAGGCAAATATTGCCTCAGGGGTTGTACTTCTTCGGCTGGAGAGATTGCATTTATCTCAGTGCAAAATGCTGGATGCCGTAATTTTTCACCATCTTGTTGTTTGAAAGATATCTTGATTGCTCAGTCTTTTCTCTTGTAGATGGAAGAGTCCACGGATTGAATCGGTACGCTGCTTTCATGAAGCTTTTCGTAATTTGTCAAGATTCTAGAAGTAATTTGACTAATTCTTCTCTAGGGATTTGCCTGGGGATATGGATGCATGATGGACTGTGTTGAGATTCTAGCTGTATAAGCAGTGCAGCTCCTGTGTCTCGCGGGAGACTGAGGTCATAACATGGTTTTGGACCCTATACGCCATCTGATGGTGGAGTGTTGCTACATATGTGTTGCCAACTTGGGGAGCGCCTGTGATTTGTAGCTGGATTTGCATGTTTTGGAAGATTTGAGGGTCTTCAAGTGATATGTTGAAGTTGGGGTAGAGAGTGACAAATATCGTGCCAGCATTCAGGGTCGTCTGAATTGTTGTTATGCAAGCATGCTGGTATTCTCTGTATCTAGTGTCGAGTAGGGCAACTCTTGCTACGACGGATAAGCCTTTTCTTCCATGCAGGGTTAACGCCAACCGAATTGCTCCATAATGTAGGTGGGTATAGCCATGAGACAACAATTATACTTTTGGATTTGATGTTCATTATAACTTTTTTGTAAAAACATATCGATCTCTAGTTCACATAAATCTTTAGATCGGAGAAATCAGTCGCTGTCGCACGGGTTCAATCCTAGTCTCTATATTATTATTTAAGTAGACATTTAAAGAAATAATCTTTATTTTGTAAAATATTACATGATATGTCATTACAAATAGCAAAGAATAATTAAAATAGGAAACAATATAGTTGTCTTTCAAATCTATTGAAAAAAATATGGAAAGGTTTTGTTTCTCATTTAATAGAGTATATTTATTATTTAGTTTCTGTATTCAAAACTATGATAGTTTTTATATTTTTTTTGTTTCAAATGATATCATAAAGTATATTTAATTAAAAAACGTGAAAATTAAAAATTTCACAATTAAATAATATAAAAGTGAAGACTAAAAGTTATGATATAAATATATTTTACTATAATTTGTTATATTTACTTAATTATATACAAAAATATTTTTTTTTAGTTATTTTACCAAAAATTTGACATAAAAAATTTGACTTTCAATTAAAAAAAGTTTGTGGTGAAGTGACTTCATAAAATAATTAACTCATTTTATAATTAACTCAAACCAAAAAAATAAAAATGACTCTATATACAGATCAACTCATTTTATAAAATTCATAAAATAAATATTTTTGCAAAATAACTGTTTTTGAAAAATAATTGTTTTTACAAAATAATTGTTTTTGCAAAATTATTTAACGTAATTGAAGGTCAAAAAATATCTCCTGCGCTACAACGTGGATTAATCCCTAGTTTATATAAATTGGGTAGCATTACTCTGATTTGGAATGGTTAAAACGACAGCAGTAGTGCAGACTACCGAACATAAGATCGAATTTATCTTCTGGATAAAGAACTTATATTTGATGACTTAGTTGTATACAAATTATATGGTTTTATAACTATACATAAAGTAAGTTGTTGCTTTTCTTGGACAAAACTGATTTTTTCAGCCGAATTTGAGAGATATGATTATTGGTGATTTGGTATGAAACATAATTTAAAAGAAAGAACAACAGGACCTCAATATACCACATTTTCTTCCGGAACCATCGAGAGAGACAGACCAAGACAGGTAAGGGAGGAGCATCGCCAAATTTAGGAATTTAAGCAGCCTGTTGAACTGGTCCTATAGCTAATAGCTGCAATATAAACCACAATTTCTCAATAAAGTTTTCTACAAATTTGATTAGTGCTATGTGTCTTAAATATATATAATAGAAATTGTGAGAGAACTTTTTCCAACTATTTCAGAGCATCATTATCGGGAGATCTAATTTGGATTTCTTAAGCTTTTTTGGTTTAAAAATAATGTTTTATGGCTCAAAATTAGAAAAACCAATTCTTATTTAGGGCATGAAGAATCGATTTTTCTTAGACAAGTGTCTGCTGCAGATTGGATTAAAAAATATGGACTGCTTTTTCTCTCTGCATTGATGTTTTTTCTCTCTCCATCAGTGTTTAATATTTTTTTCCCTTAAAAACCCGATCAAAGTTTTACCAATGCACCATTATAAATAATGAGTTTCTTAATATTAATTCTTATTCTATAATTAATAATAAAAAATACATAAGAACCTTTAATGGAGTTTTAGGGATAATGATGGTCTCACAGTTTCTAGTCCAGATATCCCTATTTGCTACAATCAACATGCCACTAACTGATAACATAACAACAATCTATCAAGTAGCTACTCCAAATATACTTCAATTTCCTTACACATTCACATCAAGCAGAAGTATAGAGACCTAAAACCAATTGCTAAACGTGATTCTCAATACAAAACATCAAAATCAAACATGAGAATGATTTCGGAGGCAACCTTGAACAAAATCGAGAGAGAGAGACTATTCCAGTGATCGCAAGATGTCTTCACTACACCGTTTTGTAAAAAAACCGAATTGTTAAACTGTAAATCAAATGGGAAAGGGTGAATCAGTTTCAATGGTATTAATTTGCACAAAAAGAATTGTTGATTGAATATTTACCTCGTCACGCCAGAAATCTTCATGAACCATTGAGGCTTTTCTGTAACCATAATGTGCCCAATAATCAATCCGATGATGACTCCAGGTGCTAAGGCTATGCCAGCTGCAGTCCAGCTAAATACTCCTTCTTCTTCATCTTCTTCTTCTTCTTCTTCTTCTGGTTCTTGTGATTGCTCTGTATGTATGTCTCCACAATTTATACTGAGAGGACGACCGCAAAGTCCAAGGTTATCTTCGAAAGACGAAGCATTTTGCGTCTGAAATTGTGTGCCTTGCGGTATCGGACCAGTGAGTTGATTATGTGAAACAACAATCTTAGAAAGCCTTGTGAGGTCGACAAGAGCAGGTGGAATTTGGCCCGAAAGATTGTTATGCGATAAGTCTAGAGACTCGAGCTCAGTCAAATTCGCTAAAGATGAAGGGATGTTGCCAATGAAACCATTGCTTGACAGATTAAGCACAATAAGATTCTTCACTAGAGCAATGGATTTAGGATAGGTCCTTGGAGTCTATTTCCCGAAATATCAATGGCTGTTAAGAGTGTAAGGATCCTTGTATATTTCATCTCTAATCCTTTATTCATCAAAACCAACGAGTCTTCATAATAGGCACCAACTCCAAGGTACTTTTATTCTGAACGGTGTTCCTTTGACCACATCGCGCTCCAATACATGAAGAAGTCAGATGGTAAGGTTCCACTGAAGGAATTATATGATATGTCAATGATTCGCAACTGAGGAAACTCAAAAGCAACTTTGGGATGATATTGTAATGACCCATGAAAGTCATAAGAGTGAAGGACCAATACTTGTAGTTGTTGCAAAGATTTCAACCAGAATGGAAAACTATCGTTGAATCTGTTGAACTCCACGTTTAGAACCTCCAAGGAAGAGCAACTAGCCAAAGATCTCGGAAGTTTTCCTCCCAATTGGTTGTGACCAACATTTAGTGACCTTAGATTGCTTCCACTGGAAAATATATCTGGCAGACTTCCGCTGCGGTGATTACCATAAACGTCGAGTTTCACAAGGTTGATTGACTTAAAAATGGATATTGGGATTTCATCGACAAAATTGTTATGAGCTAGGCTGAGATATATGAGATGAGAAAGATTTTCAAGTAAAGATGGGATTTCACCAACAAAATTGTTAGCAGAGAAGTAGAGACGTATGAGATTAGAAAGGTTTCCAAGTGAAGATTGGATTTCACCAACAAATTTGTTAAATGAGAGGTTGAGATACATGAGATTATAAAGGATTCCAAGTGAAGATGGGATTTCACCGAGGAAATTGTTATTAGCGAGGCTGAGAAATGCAAGATTAGAAAGGTTTCCAATTGAAGATGGGATTTCACCAACAAAATAGTTATTAGTGAGGTCGAGAATTACGAGATTAGAAAGATTTTCAATTGAAGATGGGATTTCACCACCAAAATTGTTATTAGTGAGGTAGAGAGTTCTGAGATTAGCAGGGTTTCCAAGTGAATATGGGATTTCACCAACAAAATTGTTATTAGTGAGGTCGAGAACTCTGAGATTAGAAAGATTTGCAAGTGAAGATGGGATTTCACCAACATAAGTGTTTCTAGAGAGGTAGAGAACTCTTAGATTAGAAAGGTCTCAAATCGAAGAAGGAATCCAACCACTAATAGAATTTCCAGAAAAGGATAGAGTAGTAAGATGAGAAAAGTTTCCAATTGAAGACGGGATTGACCGCTAAAATTGTTAAATGAAAAGACGAGAGTGGTTAGAGAACGAAGATTTTGAACCATAAAAAGCTGATTAGAGCGGAAGTGGCCATGGAGGCAGCTGCAAGAAAGGTCTAGACTGACCACTTCTCCGGATTTGGGATCACATGTGACACCGTCCCAATAACAACAGTCACTATTATTCCCCCATGACTCTGTCTTCAGATGAGAAGTGATACAAAATGAAGAAGGTTTGCCGATCACAAACTCGTTTTTGAACTCGAGAAGTGCATCCTTTTGTTCGGGATGACACAAGTGTCTAGTAGGAGCCGAAAATATATTTTTGAAAATTAAAAATGAATAAGAAGAGGAAAGAGAGAGTAATAGGAATGATACTCAAAGTGTTCGAAGAGCCTTTCTGCGTCATCTTTTAACCAATTCAATTTTTCTTGAATACGAAAACTGAAAAAAAAAAAAAAGAATTAAACTGGGAATTTGTGATGGTTAAATGGTTTCATCCTCATCTTGTTATATAGAAAACAGTAGATTGTATGTACACTACAGAGATAAATCCAATCACCAAAGATAAGTCCAATCACCAAAGATAAGTCCAATCAGCAAAGATAAGTCCAATCAGCAAAGATAAATCCAATCAGTAAAGTCTTTCTCTGAATCGTTCTATATAAGTTAGATGTAAAAAGTCAAAAGTCTTTGTGTTAAAATGTCAGATTCTATGTGGTTTTAGAAACGAAGAGGTAGAGTGAATCTCGCTAACCAAAATATAAAATCAAACGTGAAAGCGATTTAGGAGGCAGCTTTGAACAAGTAGTATGTGAACCAACGAGAGCGAGAGAGCGAGAGCGAGAGCGAGAGAGAGAGAGAGTGATACGAGCATGGACGAGGTGCGAACTGAAGGTCAGTCCGGAGAACTAATCCATACCAGAAGGCAAAACCAAGTGGTCGACTTAAGCGAGGTGGAGGTTCAGGACGGGAAGCCAGACGAGGTGGACGACCCAAGTACGGATTTATCCGAGCTCACTGGTCCAATTACACGGTCCCGAGCCAAGAAGCTATTTATAGCCGTTTGGAGGTTATGCACCGAGCTAAAGGCCAAGTATACGGACGCTACATTTCACGGATCGAGCTATAACGCTTTTAACCAACTCGGACGGTGTAGTTCCTTGACACTCTTTTTCCTTGCATCCGGGTTTGTCCCATTGGGTTTACCGGATGGGGTTTTAATGAGGTTAAGGGGCCACATCTCTCTCTTATCCGAAGTTAGTTAATGGCCGTTACGAGAAGCCCAATGATCACTCGCAAGAAAGGAGCCGAAAGGACATTCAAAGGGAGCCAAGTGGTTATTCAAACTTAGTTAATGCTTTCATTTATTTTCTTGTCTTTTGCACTTCTTTTTACGACTCTATATAAAGAGCCAGACTCCTTTGTATTTGGTCATTCACTTTTCATCAATAAAATCGAGATTTTCTTTTGTTCTTTCTGAGTTTTCCCTTTCTTAGGTGGTTAGCCTTGAAAGTTTCTATCTGGTTTATCGGATTCAATCCATAGGATTCGACGCAGCCTTTCGTTTACATCTTGTTTCGATTTCGTTCAAAATAGTTTAGGGGCAACAGAATTTTCTAGATCAAGTCTCACGCCTGTTCATCCTTCACCCGCGAGATCAACACTTGGTGTTCTCATCACCTCGATCCGATTCTGTTTCTCGCGAGATGGGCCTAAGGACCTTCGAGACATCCTCTCACCCCTTAGCATCTCTCCGACCAAACCGTTTTGGCCGAGTTTATCAACCTCTACCAAGCAAGCAAGTGCAAATCCTAAGGAAATCGTATCAAGTGGTATCAGAGCCCACTTGCTTAATCGGTAGTGTCTATCTATCTCTTTAACTTCCGCCTTTTCTCATCCCTTTTGATATTTCCGTTATAAAAAAAAAAGGAATTCGAAAAGTCCAATTAAAAAAAAAAGGAAGTTCAAAAGTCAAAAAAAAAAAAAAAACCGTACTCTTTTCTATCTATCTTTCCTTATTCTTCTCCTTTCAAACATTTGATAAACCAAGGGAACCTAGAGGCAGTCATCGTGATTCGATTAACTCCTTTAGAACCGGAAGAAAATCTCTTGTGGGTTTGTGAGATTAATAAGAGAGTGAGTGAATCAAAGAGGGAAACACTAGTAAGGATTTTTACTAACAAGTTTGTTCTTTTTGCGAGGTACGTGCATGTCATCTGACTTTTCTCTGAGCGAGTGCGATTTCTACACATTCAGAGACGGTAACCACGTTCGCTGGTACACCCCCAAAGAGATGGAAGCCAAACTCAACCAGATTACCGAAATGGTGGAGCGTATGAGCCAACGGATGGATCGGCTTGAAGTCCAGCCAAGACAAGAGGAGGCCAACGATCAAAACCGTGAGGAACCGCTGCATATCCGCCGAGATCAAAATTTTGAGCAGGAGATGGACAATCCATTCTACGCGGATAATCACTCGTCTGGAAGTAGCCGAGTCAGGCCGCGAGGCAACCGTGGTGCACACCGAGGCCAATCTGGAGGAGACCGCGACCGAGGCAATTTTTTTCCTGCCAGAAATTACCGACGTGAAGGAGGACGACCTCAGCAACCAGTCCATGAACGACGAGAAGCCGAACAGGCTCGAGGGCGTAACGACAACGACCTAGGAGGCATGAAGCTACGGATTCCCCTTTTCTACGGGAAGAATGATCCAGATGCTTTCCTGGAATGGGAAAAGAAAGTCGATATCGTGTTCAATTGCCAGGATCTATCGGAGAGGAAGAAGATCAACTTGGCGGCTTCCGAGTTCAATGGCTATGCCATAGACTGGTGGGACCAGATCATGATCAGCCGACATAGAAACCGAGAACGGCCAGTGGAAACTTGGGACGAGATGGCCACTCTCATGCGACAGCGTTTCGTGCCATCCCACTATCATCGGGAATTACATACCAAGCTTCGGAGACTCACGCAAGGAACCAAATCCGTGGAGGATTACCATCAAGAAATGGAGCGCTTAATGCTCAAAGCCGACGTGTTCGAGCCGGAGGACGCGACCATGGCCAGGTTTCTAAGTGGCTTGAACCGGGATTTACAGGATCGAATGGAGTTACAGGAGTATAACGACATGGCCGAGATGCTACACAAGGCGATTCTGGTGGAGCAACAGCTCAAACGAAAGGGTACTAATCGCTTTACCCCTGGAGCTAGCTCGCGACCGAACTACCGAGACGACAAGGCGACCTACCCCTCGCGACCTAAAAATCAGCCGAGAACAGACACCAGACCGAACCAGAACACAGGCAAGGCTGAGGTCAATTCATCGAGGACGCGTGACATCGAATGCTTTAAGTGTCGGAGAAAGGGACACTACTCCAATAAATGCCTAAACCAGCGGGCAATGCTTTTGCTCGACACCGGAGAGATCGTATCCGATCACGAGGAAGAAACCGAGCCGGTCTATGACGAGGAAGAGACCGAGGAGCGAGCTGTATCTGGAGAGCTACTTGTAGTTCGGCGTGCTCTAATAGCACAAGAACGGATCAAGGAGGAAGATCAGAGGGAAAACTTGTTTTACACCCGGTGCTTGGTCCAAGGAAAGGTGTGCAGCCTGATAATCGATGGAGGGAGTTGCACCAACGTGGCTAGCACTAGCATGGTTGACAAGCTAGGTTTGGAAACCCGTAAGCACCCTCACCCGTACAACTTACGGTGGCTCAATAACCAGAGGCAATTCAAGGTCACTAAGCAGGTCACCGTACCAATTACCATCGGATGATATGAGGACGAGGTCGTCTGCGATGTTCTACCCATGGAGGCCGGTCATTTACTTCTAGGACGGCCGTGGCAGTTTGACAAAAAGGCGATCCATGATGGTTTCTCAAACAAACATACATTTGAGCACCAAGGCAGCAAGATCATCTTAGCACCCTTGTCACCACACGAAGTCTATCTTGATCAAGTTAAGCTGGAGCAAAATTCCAAAGGAAAAAATATCTTGAGCGATCCCCAAAACCCTTCACATCAAAAGAGAGAGTCTGAGAAAAACCTAGAAATGGCCTGTGAGGGAAACCCCGTGAGCAAAGAATCATTTCTTGTGAGGCCTAGCGAGGTGAAATATGCCTTGGCTACAAAGCAATCTTTTGTTCTACTCATCTTCAAAGACGCTTTGGCTAGTCATACTAACCCTGAACCGGTATTACCGAGCAGGATCTCTCGTGTTTTGCAGGAATTCGCCGATGTCTTTCCGGAAGACGACCCAGGTGGCTTACCACCCATCCGAGGAATTGAGCACCAAATCGACTTCGTACCCGGAGCCACCCTTCCTAACCGACCTGCCTACCGTACTAATCCAATCAAAACCAAGGAGCTTCAAAGACAGGTGGATGAGCTTCTGGCTAAGGGATATATTCGCGAGAGCATGAGTCCATGCGCCGTGCCGGTCTTACTCATGCCCAAGAAGGACGGAACTTGGAGGATGTGTGTTGACTGCCGAGCCATCAACAACATAACGGTTAAGTATCGCCATCCTATTCCTAGGCTAGATGATATGTTAGATGAGCTTCATGGTGCATGCATATTTTCTAAAGTGGATTTAAAAAGTGGCTATCACCAGATTAGGATGAAAGAAGGTGATGAATGGAAAACGACTTTTAAAACTAAGCATGGACTTTTAAAACTAAGCATGGTCTTTACGATGATATCTTGATTTACAGCAAGACCCTAGATGAACATGTGTTGCATTTAAAAAGGGTGTTAGATGTGCTTAGGCGAGAACGTCTCTTTGGAAATCTTAAGAAGTGTTCTTTTTGTGCGGATCACTTTGTCTTTTTGGGTTTTGTTATGAGTTCACAGGGAATCCAGGTCGATGAGGAAAAGATCAAAGCAATCCAGGACTGGCCGAGCCCAAAGACTGTTAGCGAAGTCCAGAGTTTCCATGGACTAGCTGGGTTCTACCGTCGCTTTGTCCGAGACTTTAGTACGATAGCCGCGCCGCTGACCGAGATCATAAAAAAAGAGGTCGGGTTCAAATGGGAGCAACCTCAGGAGGAAGCCTTTCAACTCTTGAAACACAAGCTCACCCATGCGCCCTTGCTGGTGCTACCTGACTTTCTCAAGACGTTTGAGATCGAGTGCGACGCCTCAGGAGTTGGAATTTGAGCCGTGCTGATGCAAGAGAAGAAACCTGTGGCTTTCTTCAGCGAGAAGCTAGGTGGAGCAACCTTGAACTACCCGACCTACGACAAGGAATTCTACGCGTTGGTCCGAGCCCTACAAACTTGGCAGCACTACCTGTGGCCCAAGGAGTTCGTCATTCATACGGACCACCAGTCGCTCAAGCATTTAAAGGGCCAACAGAAGCTTAACAAGAGGCATGCCAGATGGATGGAATTCATCGAAACCTTTCCCTATGTCATCCAGTACAAGCAGGGTAAAGAAAACGTAGTGGCCGACGCGTTGTCTCGTTGATACACCTTGATTACCACCTTGGAAGCTAAGGTGCTGGGGTTCGAAATGATAAAGGATGCCTACATCACCGATCCAGACTTCCAGGAAGTCTACCAAGCCAGTTCGAAATTTGCCTATGGCAAATATTACCAAAGTGATGGCTATCTTTTTTATGAAAATCGGTTATGCATACCTAACACGTCACTTCGTGATTTACTTGTTAGGGAAGCACATGGAGGTGGACTAATGGGGCATTTCGGAGTAGCTAAGACTCTGAGCGTGGTGCAAGACCACTTCTTCTGGCCGCACCTGAGACGCGACATGGAACGGATCTGTGGCCGATGCACGGTCTGCAAGATGGCTAAAACCCGAAGTCAAGGCCCAGGTATGTACACTCCACTTCCCATTCCTAGTGAGCCCTGGACCGATATTTCCATGGACTTTGTGTTAGGGTTGCCACGAACTAGAAGAGGTAGAGATTCGGTCTTTGTGGTCGTAGATAGGTTTTCTAAAATGGCCCATTTCATTCCATGTCATAAGACCGATGATGCTTCCAATGTGGCCGACCTGTTCTTTAGGGAGATTGTCCGATTGCATGGGGGTTCCTAGAACCATTGTTTCAGACCGGGACACTAAGTTCCTTAGTTATTTTTGGAAAACCCTTTGGTCAAAACTTGGAACTAAACTTTGTTTCTCAACTACTTGTCACCCTCAAACTGATGGACAAACTGAAGTAGTTAATCGAACTTTGTCAGCTTTGTTGCGATCTGTGATTAAAAAGAATCTCAGAACTTGGGAAGATTGCTTGCCACACGTTGAGTTTGCTTATAATCATTCGGTTCATTCGACTACAATGTTTTCTCCTTTTCAACTTGTGTATGGGTTTAATCCACTTACTCCGCTTGATCTAACCCCTTTGCGTATGAGTGAAAGACTTAATCTAGATGGCAAGAAAAGGGCCGAACTGGTTAAACAGATGCACGAGAAAGCCAAGGAAAACATTCAAAAGAAAGCCAAGGAAAACATTCAAAAGAAAACCGAGCAATTTCAAAGGAAAGCGAACAAAGGAAGAAGCAAAAGAACGTTTGAGCCCGGCGACCAAGTTTGGATTTATCTAAGGAAGGAACGTTTTCCTGAGGAACAGAAGTCCAAGCTTTTACCCCGAGTCGATGGACCTTTCACGGTTTTGAACCGCATCAACGACAACGCCTACCAGATCGACCTCCGAGGTAAGTACACGGTCAGCTCGAGTTTTAATATTTCTGACTTAGTTCCCTTTCTTCCAGATGGACCAGACTTGAGGACAAGTCCTTTTCAAGAGGGGGGGGGAATGATACGAGCATGGACGAGGTGCGAACTGAGGGTCAGTCCGGAGAACTAATCCAGACCGGAAGGCAAGACCAAGTGGCCGACCTAAGCAAGGTGGAGGTTCAGGACGGGAAGCCAGACGAGGTGGACGACCCAAGTACGGATTTATCCGAGCTCACTGGTCCAATTACACGGTCCCGAGCCAAGAAGCTATCTATAGCTGTTTGGAGGTTATGCACCGAGCTGAAAGCCAAGTATACGGACGCTACATTTCACGACCGAGCTATAACGCTTTTAACCAACTCGGACGGTGTAGTTCCTTGACACTCTTTTTCCTTGCATCCGGGTTTGTCCCACTGGGTTTACCGGATGAGGTTTTAATGAGGTTAAGGGGCCACATCTCTCTCTTATCCGAGAAGCCCAAGGATCACTCGCAAGAAAAGAGCCGAAAGGACATTCAAAGGGAGCCGAGTGGTCATTCAAACTTAGTTAATGCTTTCATTTATTTTCTTGTCTTTTGCACTTCTTTTTACGACTCTATATAAAGAGCCAGACTCCTTTGTATTTGGTCATTCACTTTTCATCAATAAAATCGAGATTTTCTCTTATTTTTTCTGAGTTTTTCCTTTTTTAGGTGGTTAGTTTTGAAAGTTTCTATCTGGTTTATCGGATTCAATCCATAGGATTTGACGCAGCCTTTCCTTTACATCTTGTTCGATTTCGTTCAAAGTAGTTTAGGGGCAACAGGATTTTCGAGATCAAGTCTCACGCCTGTTCATCCTTGACCCGCGAGATCAACACTTGGTGTTCTCATCACCTCGATCCGATTCTGTTTCTCGCGAGCTGGGCCTACGAATCTTCGAGACATCCTCTCACCCCTTAGCATCTCTCCGACCAAACCGTTTTGGCCGAGTTTATCAACCTCTACCAAGCAAGCAAGTGCAAATCCTAAGGAAATCGTATCAAGTGGTATCAGAGCCCACTTGCTTAATCGGTAGTGTCTATCTATCTCTTTAACTTCCGCCTTTTCTCATCCCTTTTGATATTTCCGTTATAAAAAAAAAAGGAATTCGAAAAGTCCAATTAAAAAACCCCAGGAAGTTCAAAAGTCAAAAAAAAAAAAAAAACCGTACTCTTTTCTATCTATCTTTCCTTATTCTTCTCCTTTCAAACATTTGATAAACCAAGGGAACCTAGAGGCAGTCATCGTGATTCGATTAACTCCTTTAGAACCGGAAGAAAATCTCTTGTGGGTTTGTGAGATTAATAAGAGAGTGAGTGAATCAAAGAGGGAAACACTAGTAAGGATTTTTACTAACAAGTTTGTTCTTTTTGCGAGGTACGTGCATGTCATCTGACTTTTCTCTGAGCGAGTGCGATTTCTACACATTCAGAGACGGTAACCACG